CTGGAGTGATTTAAATGATTAAAAAAAAAACACTGGGTTTTTTTTTGGTTATCTTTTATGAATTTTTTCAAGTTTCTGACTCTTCTTTTATTTACTTCTTTTTTTAATGTATTTGGTTGGTACAGCGTCTCACTACAGGGCTCAATTTCATAGTGATCCTCCTGTGTTCAGCCTCCCCAGCGCTGGGTTTACAGGCGTGAACCACCATGCCTAGACTCTGTAGCCAGCTCAGCCTGCCTGGAAGGCAGGGCTGGCACCGCATGTGGTTCTGGGGATGGAACTGTGGTGCCTGAGCTTGCCTAAGCTTGCCTAAGCTTGCCTAAGAAGGTGCTTTAGTCCACTGAGCTATCTCATTGGCCCTAATTCTTCTCTTATAATGGTTAGAGGGTGGTAATTATAGTGTTAACAGGTAATATTTGCTTCTTTAAAAAACATATCCTTACTACTACAGACACAGTTAATCAGCTGATACAATCCATCACAAATCTTCCCTTCCTTTTGCCACTTTCCAGCTGCTAGAGATGGCCATGTAACCTCTTCAGGTCAAGGAAACAATAACAAAAGCCTGTTGGGTGGGCTTTGGGAAACGTTTCTGCCTTCCTGATACAAAGGGATATATTCAGTGGCCACGTGCCTTCACATTTTTAAGTCTTCTAGAGACTGAAACACCATATGATTCACCCATCTGAAGTGTACACATCAATAGTTCGTAGTATACTGATAAAATCGTGCAGGCATCCCATCAATTTTCTAACATTTTTGTCATCCCAAAACACCTGCATGTCCTTTAGCAGTCACTCCCCATACTCCCTCAGCCTCTCCCCCATCCTTAGACAACCTCTAATGTACTTTGTCACTGAATTCCCTAATCTGGAAATTTCAAATGAAGGGGATCAGGCAGTACGTGACCATGTGGTCACATACTTGTGGCTGGCTTCTTTCACTTGCCCTCCACTTTTTAAGGCTCACCCATGGAGTCCCACATAACAATACTTCATTCCTTTTTACAGCCTAATGACATTTCATCAGTTCAATAGCTATCCATTCATCAATTGGAAAATCTTTTAGGTTATTTTCTCTTTTTTTACTATTATTCATATTAATATTATGAACATTTGCCCTCAAGTTTCTGTATGGGTGTATCTTTTATTTCTCTGAGATATGTACCTAGGAATATAACTAAGTAAAAATCAGTGCTCAGAAGACTAAGGCAGGAGGACAGCAGTTAAGATCACCCTGCATCGCTAGGATGGCAACTGAGACCTGGCATGCTGGCACATGCCTGTAATCCCAGCACTTAGGAGGCTGAAAGAAGAGGGATCACTGTGAGTCTGATATGTGTAGTGAGACCCTGTAGGCCCTGTAACTAAATACATAAAAGAAAGAAAGATCACCCTGGATTATACAGAAAATTCAAGGGCAGCCTAGATTCCATATTGAAACCCTGTCTCCAAAAAACAATGCATAACCCAGACAAGGGGAGGCAAGTATGGGGATTGGATTTTTAACACTAAACTATTGTCCATTTTCCTCATAATAAAGGCAACAACTACCATCCCCAGTAGTTTCTGGCACCGAGAAAAACAACCTGACAAGACTTTTTTTTTTTTTTTCTGTATTTAAGGGTCTACAGGGTCTCACTACATAGATCAGATTTATAGTGATCCTCCTGTTTACAGCCTCCCAAGCACTGGGATTACAGGTGGGCACCACCATGCCCAGACTCAATCACCATCTCAGTGTGCCCTGGGGGAGGGGCCAGCATGCCACGAAAGAGATCAAACCCCAGTCCTGTGGCTGCCTAGCAGGTGCTTTAGTGTGCTGAGCTATCAGGCCGGTTCCGATCAGACTTTCTACAAGGTAACACATTCACATGGTAACTCTAGTTGAGAACTGCCAGGCTGTATTCCCAAGCAGCTGCATTACTGCCATTCCCACCAACAATGTATAAATGGATTCACATTTTACCTTCCCCTTTCCTTCCTGCCTAAATATTCTGAGGTAGGCATCGATAGTTGCTCATAACCGGGAGGCACAAATTCAAGGATGCTAAGGATGGTAAAGTAGAAAGACAGAATAGGGTTCCTATTAGTTAGGAGGGGAACCTTTCTCGATTGAGCTACTTAAAGTGAAGACTTCTACTAACTATAAAGAAGGTAAAGCTGTGATACTACATATCATAGGATATCACTGTATTCAGAGAAGAAATTTCTCCTTGATAGTCAGTAAGAGAGCAAAACCACCTTTAAACAATTTAAAGCTCCATGTAGTACATAAACTGCCATGGGAAAGATAATTTGGTTAAGAAAAACCAATGTATTTTCACTTGCTCTACATGTTTATGAAATTATTTTACTATTTGGTTAATGCACTGAATAACAATGGCCAGGATTTTAACTAAGCAAAGTAGGAAAACTACTAAACAGAGATTACGCTAAGCACTTTATAAATTAACTTAGTCTTCTAGACTCCTATTTTACAGATAAGAATACCAAGGTATAAAAAGTTTAACTTCTCCAAGATCATGCAACTAGTGACAGAATCAATATTCAAAGTCAGGTAGAATTTCTCCTTGCCCAAAAATGTTACCTCTATAGAGTACCTTTGCAATTTTAGAATGGAAAAAATAATTATTATAATAGCCCAAAATGTATAAAAAGTATGTACTCTTTAATGTCATATATGTTTTTACAGTGAGAATGGTGGTAAGGGAATAGCCGTTTTTGTATAAGATGTTCAACAAGTGTTATTTCATTAAATTCTAAAAACAGCCATAGGAAGAAGATACTATCTTCATTTACATTTTCAGATTTATGAATCTGAAACCTAATAAAGTTAAATAACCTTGACAGTTTCACAGAACTGGTAACTAATGTTCTTTTGACTATTAACAATGCTTACCTAGTTGGTAGCAAACTCAAATTATAAATGCATAACTATATAACCTGGTATGGCTTTCCCTGCATTTATTATCATCATCTGCCGATAAGCACTCCTTACCTTTAAGTGTTTGAAATTATGTTTCCATCATTCCTGCTAAAACACCTGAAATTTCTACTACTAAGATATGCTACTAGTGAGCATACATTACCCGGAAGGCATAATCTAAATCTCTCACCATGTCTGAAGTTATTCTGTAAACCTGAACGAGCAGATTATCTCTTCACAAGGTGCGCACTGATCACTGTGTGCCAACCCAATAATTCTCAGTTCCCGGCCCAAACCATAACCTTTCTGATACGTCTTAGACACTGATACAACAAATATTTGCTCCGTCTGATCACTTAATGTCCCCTAATTTGTGTTTGTTTGCCAATAACATTTAAAGACTTTGTTCAAAGTAAGTTTCCCTGAACTTGCTATTTGCTCAGCTACTAAGGACAGAGCTTGGTCTACCAGCAAAGGCAGCTCTGTTCCTGAAGCTAAGCAACACCCTGGGTACACCTTCTATTGACAGGTCTTACCTATACAGATTGGTCTTAAAAATCCCTGCATCAAGATTTTAACTTTAGGGCTGGCCAAATAGCTCTGTGGATTACGGCCCATAGATTTGATCCCCCAGCCTGCTGTGCGGGCCCCACCCCCAGGGCACGCTGAGATGGCAATTGAGACTGGGCATGGTGGCATTGGCCTGTAATCCAAGCTCTTGGGAGGCTGTAAACAGGCAGATCACTATGAGTCAGATCTAGTAGTGAGACCCTGAACACCCTGTAGACCCTTCCCTAAAATAGAAAAAAAAAAAAAAAAACATTTTAACTTTAAAAATCTTCCAAGGGATGTGAGTGCTAGGAGTGGGAAGAGGCCACTTTACTTTACAAAACCTCTATAATGTGACTTAAGCCACAGTTTTTCTACAATGTAGATAGAAATCTTTTAAATATCCTTTATTAATCATTGTCCAAAGCCAGGCCACCGGGCATGTGTGTCTATACTGACCTCTTCAGTATCTCCTCTTCCAGTTCTGTGCTCACCCCCCACCCCACCCCGCTCCATGCCCGTGTCTGTGCCTGAGCCAGTTTCCTTCCTCTGAATGCCACCCCTCTTTAACTTACCATGTACTCTAGGCCTAGCTGCATCAGCAGTTCCTCGCTGCGCTCTTCTCCACACTTGAAGCACACACTGAGCTGTGCCTTCTACAAAGCCTACACTTTCACACCCCAGCCTTGACTGGATTACACTGGAAGTCATGTATCAGTTGTCATCCTTGCTCTATAAGCACTGTGTATATTTTCCAGAGGGCCAAGAGAACTGATGTTTTTTTCTTTTATCATATATATATAATTTATATCACAGTGATAAAGAATCAAATTAATATGAAGAAGATTACAATTTAAGCAATCTACTTTTAAGTCTCCATATATATAAAGAATATGGATAACACAATTTATCAAATTTATCAGCTTACTAAACTAACCTGAAAAACTATTATGTTCTTTCAAGAATGCTACAGGTTTACTTTTGAACCTATAATATTAAAATTCTTAAAATAATGAGATTTTTATTTCAGACTCAAACCCAGTATGTTAGGGTCATGCCAATATATTAAAAACATACATGACTCACCAAAATCAATGGCCACACCTAAAAACAATCTTTGAGTCAAAAGTTTCCTACTAGAAAAGTCTTAGCTTAGATACTTGAAATCACAGTGAATGATTCAGAATTAAATAAAATGTGTGCAACATTATCATTTTGTTTATGGTTACACTGCAATAAGCAGACAAATTCTAACAAGAGCATTATATTATTTTTACTATTAATATATCTGAAATGACCATAATTAGCCAATAATATAATGTAATTAGCTAATTGTATATCAATATTTTTTCCAGTGCCAAGAAAACTACTTTCACATAAATATATCAGACAATCTGAATCACATGAAAGGTAAAAACAAATACATTTTCTTCCTAGATAGCTTATTAGCATTTGTGCCATAAACGATTTCTGGACATTTGCTTTTAAGTATATTCTGTAAGAACACAAAGGGGAAGTCATACCTGTTTTGCTAATGACTTCCTGCAGCTCAGCCGTGGAGCTGATCACCGCGGCCAGCAGGTCGGCGCTGGTGAGCCAGCTCAGGGCCTGCGAGCAGCGGACCTGCTCCTTCTGATGCCCTGCAAGAACAGAACAGCATGTGAGACGCCACGAAAGCTATGAAAATCTACATGCAAAAGTCATTACAGTGTTCAGCTACTTAAGGAATAAATCAAACTTTGGGCACAGAATACTGACTGGCACAGACCAAAATCTGTAGGAAATGTTAGCTCTGATTGACCCAGCTAACACTGCCAAAGAGACAAAGAAATTTTCCTTAGTTTTATTCATATTACTTAACAGTCTGCTTTTTAAAAAGTTACCAATTGAATCTATTGCTTCTTCAGAATAGTCAAACATTTAAAAAACAATATTAGCTGGAAAATTTACATTTGTGATATTTCCATACAAGTCTTCAGTAGAATTTTTTAATTTGACTTTTTTATCTTCTTTTTTATGTATTTATTTGGTACAGCATCTCACTATGCAGCTTAAACTTATAGTGATCCTCCTGTCTCAGCCTCCCCAGCACTGCAGCACTGGGGTTACTGGCGTGCGCCACCATGCCCACTTTCAGCGGCCAGCTCAGCGCAGGGTCAGCATGGCAGCCAGTACCAGAGATCGAACCCAGATCCTTACGCTGACCAGGCAGCGCTTACACACTGAGCTATCTGCCTGACGCTCTTCAGTAGATTTTTTTTTAACTCTTACCATTTTATGCTGATTCATAAAAAAGCAAAATAAACTGCTACTTTTAAATAGGGCTGTTTTGAATTATCTTAATTTAAATATATATATAAGCTCTTTGCTTTATTACAAAAAAGATTCAATATAATGAAGTTAAACAATGTCAAAGTTATATACATTTGCTTTTTTTCTTTTCTTTTTTTTTTTTTTTTAGTACAGGGTCTATAAGGTCTTACTATACAGATTGGACCCATAGCAATCCTCCTGTTTTCTGCTTGCCAAGCACTAGAATTACAGGCAGGTGCCACCATGCCCAGTCTCAATCACTGTCTCAGCGTGGGATACCTGGGGATCAAACCCTGGTCCCTGCACTTTAATTTGCTGAGCTATCTAGCCGGCTCCCACATTTGCTCTTTTATTAAAAAAAAAAAAAAAAAAAAAAGATTATTTATTTATTTAGTAGAGTGTCTTGCTATGCAGCTCAGACTAGAAGTGACCCTTCCATCTTTGCCTCCCCAGTGCTGGGATCACAGGCATGTCACTACACCCAGTGTCAGTGGCTGGCACCCAGGCCAGCATGGCCACATTGGCCCTTTATATTTTAATCAATTGACAAAAATACCAAGAGCCTGCATTATCTAAAAATATACAAGTGTCCACATAAACACTATGTATCTCTATAGATACAGAACTAGGTTACAAGATTTCACATACATGTCTTTCAAAGGTTTTGTATATCTAATTACATTCTTGGAAGCTCACATTATCTTACTTGGAAATTTATGCTTGTCTTTGGGCTCTCCTGTACACACTAACATGCCTATGCCTTCTTTGAAACTTTCCATCCAAGTAAAAAGAGAGGCACATGACTGGCCCAAAATCTTGAGTCTGTTGGCGGCCAAAATTGCGATGACACCTTTCCGGAACACACGGATGAGTCCTTTGAACGGCTTTTTCTTCATCTTGGCTTCTTCTTGCTTCTTTTCCTCTACTGCTGACAACGCTTGGGCTAAAGTCCTAATTTCCAGTTTAAACAATTCAAATGTGTTGACCTGCTCCTGGAGAAAGTCTCTCTGGGTAGATAAGGCACACGCTCTGCCATACAGGGGATAGAGCGCACCAGCCAGCAACGCACAGGCTGCCAGCAGGGATGTCTGTTCCCTTTGAATCTTAGACAACACAGTTTTGAAATGAGAATTTTCACGAATCAACTGTTCATGTGACTTCTCAATACAGTTCAATTTGTCCATATTTTTTTCTGCAATTTCTTGAAATTTCTAAAAAAGTCAAAAATGTATTTATGAAACAAGCATTTTATTAATTTATCTTCATACAAAAAATAAATGTTTAGTGACATTACTTCTGCTTCAAAAGATCTATTTATAAAGTATCCAAAAACTGCAAGATACATAGAGCAATAGTAAATAGCAAATTCCCTATGGTAAATGTTATTATTACATATACGTAAAATGTACCAATAAAATAAAAATTTTAAAAGAAACAGCTGAGGTCTGAATGCATACATTGATTTTTTTTTTTTTTTTTTTTTTTCCCCCAGGGATCAAATTCAGGACTGTGAGCTTGCCAGGCAGGCGCTTAAGCTGCTGAGCTATCTCCCTGGCTGAACATTGATTTTTAAGTCCACTTACACAGAAGCTTTACATAAACTACACAAATGAAAGTATTTGTGAATTACTTGTACATAAATATACATTTTTTAAAAAGAAAGTGTGTTTTCTCTGCGTAATTCCTCCTTTTGCCATTCCTTTTATTTTCAACTTTTAAACAGAAATTATACTGCCAGTAGAGGCTTTCCTGTTCATAAAAAGGCACTGCCTTTGCCAACACAAACAAAGAGTTAAATCTACCAAAGAAGGCCGGGCATGGGTTGTCTCCCACTTGCTGATGGGAAGGAGCAGGCCGACCCACAGCACACCCTCTTCTTTCATCAGTTTCTTGCCTGCCTCCTCAAGACAGAAGGCTGCACACAGAGCATGGGCAGTGGAGGAGCGCTGACTAGGAGCTAGGCCACAGCAGCTACCTAAGCCTTTTTGACTAATGAAGTTCTTACATCTCAAAATTTAACTTGAAACAAAAAGGAATTTTAACTTAGGGACTCTATTTTAACCACTAGAAAATGATCTATGCCTCCCTCCTTCCCTCCTTTCCCTCCCTCCCTCCCTCCCCCTCCTTTACCCTCCCTCTCCCTTTCCCTTTCCTCTCCCTTCCCCCCGCCCAAATCTTATGTGAGGAGAAGGAAAATGGTGGAGTAGTAATTGATAGCAAAATTCAGCCTGAGATCTGGAATCCAAACACTGGAAAATAACAACTTGGAAAAGAAAAAGAGAAGTAGACTGCCAGAAATCATGAAGGACTCGACAGGAAAAATATAAGCTACAAAGAAGTTGGAAAGATAATCCACAGGACAGAGAAAAGAACAAAACACTGCACTGTCCAGCTCACAGCTAACAGCTGGTGGAACCTGGGGCCCCTAAACCATGGTAAGTTCCCAGGGCTTGGAGATTCAGGGAAAAACAGTGATACAGCCCCCAGCCACTGAGATCCACAAAAACAGTACAGGGGTTTGCTCTACAGTTAGTTCTTCCACCTCAGAGCCAGCAGCCCAGCAAGGACTCAAGCATGAGTGCCAGCCATGTTGGCTCCAAGTGTCCAGCCAGGTACCATTTCAGGAAAGCACTGACCATTTAAATCACAGACTCAGAACAACTGAAAAACAGCTTCACCTCAGGACTCCCCTTATAACTCTCCAAATGTGACTGGGTGACAGACAGCCGTGGAGACAACCATTGACGGGGAGTGGGCTGGAAAGAGGTCCCCAAGAAGGCTAAGCTCAGAGAAGGAAGGACATGGGAGTACAACCCCACAGGAGAAGGCAGGCCAGCCTGAAGGGTGCTGAGGAAAAGCTGCTGCAGAAAGCGCATGCCTGCATTCAGCACTTGAGCCCTTACCTGGCTGCCCACATCCAGCACATATCTGAGGTCTTAGTCAACACTTACTCAAAAAAAGAGAAAAAATTCTGGTTTTAGACTTATTTTCCTTTCTCTTTCTTTAATTTTCATTTTTCTTTTTCCTTTTAATTTTTCCCTTTTAACTTTTTCTAGTTTTTATTCCTATATTATTTTCTTCTCCCTTTTTTCTTTCATTTTTTATTATTTTCTGTTACTACCTTTATCTAATTCTATTAATATCCTATTCCTCAACAAGATCCTTTTGACACTTGTCTCTCAGCTCCCACTATTTAATTTTTTAAAAATAATTTTATTGAGAAACAAATAGCAATGAGACAGTTTCAAAACCGATTAGTAGGACCGTGTCAATAATTAATACACTGCATATTGTTGTCTTAGTGATTACTCATTGTACAAGATGCAGACATGATATCTTGTCCACAAACACTATTAGAACAAATCTTTCTATTCATTGAATTAAGAGAATGTAGCTGTATATTTATCCTAACTATTTTGAATATACAGATACAAAATGGTTGTTTATTCATATCCCCCTTTTTTGTTTGGGAAAAACTGGTTCTCTACATGTTTAATTTTTCTAACTATTCTTCTTGCATTCTCCTAGTCCCGAACCTGTATATCTTTAACAGTATAACCATTAATCTACCAAAGATGAACCAAGAAGACATAAAAAAAACATGAATAATCTAGCCTCAGGAAATGTGATTAAAAATAAAAAACAAAAAAGTACTACTAAGAAAATCCCAGTTACCAAAAGATCCACTGCTGAATTCTAGAAGATAGTCTAATATCATTACTTCTCAAACTTGTTAATGAAATTGAAAGATAAAGAATATGCCCAAAGTCATTCCTGTACACTAGCATTACCCTGATTGCAAAACCAGAAAAGGACCCAACCAAAAAAAAGAATTACAGGCTGATTTCTTCAATAAACATGGCACAAAAAACCCACAAGACACTTAGAAACAGGATGTAACAAAACATCCAAGAGATCATACATCATAAACAAGTAGGATTCATCCCAGGAATGCATGGATGGCTCAACATAGGTAGTTCAATAAATGTAATAATTACATAAACAGCAACAAAAATCACATGCTTAGGTCAATACATGCAGAAAAATCTTTCAAAAACTTCAACTTACATTAATGATGTTTTTAAAACTGAAGAAAATAGGTATAGAAGTAACATCTCAAAACTAACAAAAGCCATTTATGACCAGTCATCAACTAACATCACATTAAATGAGAATCTGAAAGCTACCACTCTAAAATCAGGAGCAAAACAAGGATACCCACTATCACCACTCCTGTTCAATGCAGTTCTTGAAGCATTAGCCACAGCAATCAGGAAAGAGAAAGAAATAAAAGGGATACGAATAGGAAAAAAGTCAAATTATTATTTGCAGATGACATGCTGCTCTCCACAGAAGACCCAAAGAAGTCCACCAGGGAATTCTAAAATAATGAAATTCTACAGCATTATAGGACACAGTCAGTACACAAAAATCAGTATCATTCCTGTATGCCAGTAATAAACTCTTTGAGAAAGTATTAGGGAAACAACACATATCATGATAGTATCAAGAAAAACTAACCTGACTCACCCCTCCAAGAAAAGACCTCTACAACAAAAATTAAAGTACTCTGGGGGAAAAAAAAAAAAGACATCAGAAAATGAAAAGATATCCTCTGTTCCTAGACAGGCAGAACCAATGTAGTCTAAGGAGCATACTTCTAAAGGAAATAGACAGATTTATTGCAATTCCCGTCACGTAACTAGAGAAAAACAACCCTAAAATTTTTATGTAAAGAACCAGAAGAGAGCTAGAATAACAAAAGCAATCCCAAAACAACCAAAGCAAAAAGCATCACAAGCCCAGATTTCAAGTTACACCACAAAGCTACAGTAATTAAAAACAGCACAGTTAAAAAAAAAAATCAATTAATTTAAAAAAAAAATCTTAGAAAACAGCAGATTAGAGGCCCCAGGGGCCTAATGGACAAGGCATTGGCCTCCTAAAAACAGCATAGTATTGGTCAAGGGGAAGCACATAAATTAATGAACCATCTGGGCATGATGAGACTCATGCCTGTTATCTCAGCACTCAGGAGGCTGAGGTACAGGACTGCCACAGGTTCAAGGCCAACATAGGCTTTATAGGCTACATAGTGAGTTCCCAACAGCTTGAACTATATGGCAAGACATTCTCTCAAAAAACAAAAAAAGGAAGAAAGAAAGAAAGAGAGAAAGAGAGAGAGAGAAGAAACTAGAGTAAAGGATGCAGAAACTGCTCCGCACATATTCAACTATCTTTGATTGGGAGGCCAAAAATATACACTGGGGGGAAAATGACCTCTTTAAGAACTAAGCAAGGAAAACTAGATGTACACATGCAGATAGAACGACATATCTCACCATGCACTGAACTAAAATTTAATCAATCAAAGACCTAAATATTAAAACAGAAACAATCTGCTGAAAGATAAAATTAGGTAGAAATAGACATAGACAATGTTTTTCTGAACACAACTTTAACAGCATAACAATCAAAAAATAGGATTATATCAAAAGAAAAAGCTGCTGCACAGCAAAGAAAACCACCAACAGAATGAAGAGCCTGCAGAACAGAGCGAACATTGTGGCTGCTTTACCTCAGACACAGAACTGGAATCTAGAATACATAAAGAATTAAAATAAGCTTGACTCTCCAAAAATAAAATATCATCAAAAACAGGCAACCAGCATGAGCAGACATTGCTCAGAAGAAACACAAATGGCCAATAAATACAGGAAAATATGTTCAACATTTCTGGCCATTAGAGAAATTAAATTAAAACATCATGTTGTACCACAATAACTGATTCATTTGTTTGTTTTCATACCACATAGAATTTAGTGAGTAATCAATGAGGTTTACTAAATGATAAATGAATAAAGCAAGTTGAGATCTGCTTTTTCATCTTTCTCCAGAAAGAATGCCTATCATCAAGAAATTTGGTAACAGCAGACCCAGTAGTAGCCCAGGTCCGGTGAGTGTGTGGGAGACCTTCCTCTTCCCCTACTTCATCTTGCCCCCTCCAGGCACAGCTCAGGCCTGGCATACACGCCTGGGGTATAACCCTGCAGCTTCAATCTCTGCAGAGAGTATAGAGGATACATCCACCCACCTAGTTCAGGAGCAGAACATCTTGCCACAGGAGCACGGCAGGTTCACCCTCAAAGGCAGCAGTGGGAAGGAGCTAAGCACAGCAGCCAGACGCAAGCCAGA